TGGGGGCGGGGAGCGGGGCGCGAAGGCGCTGTCCAGTCCTGGGGACTTGGGGAGTGGAGCGGGCCGGGTGAGGTGCCGACTGTCCGGTGCGGAGACGGGGACTTCGCCGTCGGAAGGGAGAGGTGCCATTGTGGGGCGGGGGAGCCCCTTTGTGGGCAGGTGCGTGTCCAGAGTCGGCGTGGAAAATGTCTCTGTGGGGAGGGGCTGGCGCCGGGTCCCAGCAGAAGTTCCCACGGTGAGGAGTGGGAGCCTGCGTCTTACTGGGAGGAGGGGTCCCGAGGTCGGAGGCACGGCACCCCGCGAAGAGGGAGCCCCAGGCTGGGGGGAAGCGGAGCGGAGGAGGAAGGGAATCCCAGCGCGGGAGGTGCGTTCCCCTTGGGGAGAGACGCGCGGGGGTCAGAGGTGCAGGGTCTGCCGTGAGCTTCCTGCTGGGGAGGAGGCGAGGGCGGAGCTGGATGGTGGGAGCCCCCAGGAAGGCCGGGAGGGCTGGGCGCCCTGCGAAGGGTAGGCACTCAGAGGCAGGTAGCGGAAGATTCCGGAGTTTGGAGGATGCTAAGGACGGGGAGGGGCCAGTCAGCCTGACATTCTTTTGTGTGTTTGGGAGTCCCAGAACCTGTTCAGCTAGGGGCCCATTTGGAGTCAGTGACGGCAGCAGCTGCAGGTATCCTCGTTCCGGGGGATGTGGAGCACCAGTTGGGTGGTGGTGGCAGATGGAAGCCCTTGTGCTTCCAGGGGACACAGGCAGCCCCCAGGGGCTGTGGGAATTTTGGAGTAGAAACTGCTGTGAAGGCTGGATGGGAGGAAGGGAGGACGGTGATGGGGGAGCAGCAGGAAGCTGATTTCCCTGGCACTTCTTTCCCCTTTGTTTCCCATTAGGACCCAGAGTTGGGGCTGGGTGACCCGGGGCCTCCAGAGAAGGGATGATTGGAGAGTAGGGAAGAGGCAGCGCCCCTGAGGGGCGGGCATTAGGGTCCGTCCTGCCTCCTCTGCCCTGAGCCCCCAAATCCTACCCTGCCCATCTCCAGCAAACTCAGGCTCTGGGACTGGGCCAGAACCAGACACAGTTCTGGACCACTGAGGTAGCTACCTCTGCTTTTCTGCCCTTCTGCCCCAGGACTTCTTGCTTGCCTTTGCTTTTTGCCCCAGGACCTGCTGCTGGTGGAGGTGGTGATATCCCGGGTGAGCCCCTGGCGCCGGAAGCCTTTCCCTTACTGACTTGCTCTTGACCGCATCCCCTCCTTTGTGCAGGCCCAGCCTGCAGGGAGCCCTGCAGTGTATGTGTGGTAACACCATGTCTGTGCCCCTGCTCACCGACGCTGCCACCGTGTCTGGAGCTGAGCGGGAAACGGCTGCGGTAAGGGACCCCTTTCACCTTGGCAGCCCTTGGATATGGGTACAGCCAGATCTGCTGGGGACAGCTGGGCAACTGGCTGGAGCGGGCATGGGAAACATGGAGGTGGCAGGGGTGAGAAGGGAGTAGCCTGAAGCCAGAGGCTTGAGGTTAATAACCTGTTGGCTGTCACCTCGGATCACCCCAGGTCTCTAGGGGTAGGGAAGGGCAGGCTGAAATTGGAAGATCTAGTTTTTGTTTTTTATTTTATTTTCATTATTTAGACAGCTGGGCAACTGGCTGGAGCGGGCATGGGAAACATGGAGGTGGCAGGGGTGAGAAGGGAGTAGCCTGAAGCCAGAGGCTTGAGGTTAATAACCTGTTGGCTGTCACCTCGGATCACCCCAGGTCTCTAGGGGTAGGGAAGGGCAGGCTGAAATTGGAAGATCTAGTTTTTGTTTTTTATTTTATTTTCATTATTTATTTATTTTTTGGTTTTTGAGACAGGGTCTCACTATGTAGTTGAGACTGACCTGGAACTCACTATGTAGCCCAGGCTGATCTCGAACTCACAGCGATCCTCCTGCCTCACTCCTCAGCGTGTTGGCTGTCACCTCGGATCACCCCAGGTCTCTAGGGGTAGGGAAGGGCAGGCTGAAATTGGAAGATCTAGTTTTTGTTTTTTATTTTATTTTCATTATTTATTTATTTTTTGGTTTTTGAGACAGGGTCTCACTATGTAGTTGAGACTGACCTGGAACTCACTATGTAGCCCAGGCTGATCTCGAACTCACAGCGATCCTCCTGCCTCAGCCTCCTCAGTGCTGGGATTACAGGCATGAGCCACCACACCCGGCTGAAATTGGAAGATCTAAAGGGGGAATTTATTCATCTTCCCTTTTCTGACCTTTTCCAGGTTATTTTTTTACATGGACTTGGAGACACAGGGTGAGTGAATTGGGGGGTGCTCCTTCGGGAGGTGGGGCAGGGCCCAGCCAGCAGGGCTGCCTCCCCCTTCCCCTTCCTGCATCGGAGCCTTCTCTCCCTTTCCTCCTACAGGCACAGCTGGGCTGACGCCCTCTCCACCATCCGGCTCCCTCACGTCAAGTACATCTGTCCCCATGCGTGAGTGTCCCCCCAGCAAGGGAGGGCCATGTAGGGGTGTCCTGTTGGGGGGTCGGCAGTGGTGGGTATGTTTCTGCAGTCCTAGACCTGTTCTGTCGGCTGCATCCCAGAGCCTGGACTCAGAGCAGTCAGGAGTGCAAGTTCAACCTCAGCTCCTAGGGAGCCCCCAAGAATGGGGTCCAGCACCAGCACCAGCCCTAGGGTCTCCTAGACCAGGGCTTCCCATGCCCCTTCCCCAAGTACTCACCCACCGAGCTGGAACCTGCTCATCATGAGTGTTGGGCTCTGCTTCTGCATCACTAGCTGCTGTCCCAGCCACAGCCTGGTGTCCCACATGGCAGGTTGCCTGGCAACACCTTAAACATAGGCCCTGCCTGCTGGGAGGGGCCCCCAGGGGCTTCTCTGCCGTGGCTTCCTGCTCTCTCCTGAGCATGATGGGCCGTTCTGACTGTCCCTCCCCAGGCCTAGGATCCCTGTGACACTCAACATGAAGATGGTGATGCCCTCCTGGTGAGTGTGGGCTGCGGGAGACAGGTGCTGAGGGGATGCAGGGGGCTGGCCCGGGGTTTTAGCAGCAATCGTTTCTGCTCCCCAGGTTTGACCTGATGGGGCTGAGTCCCGACGCCCCAGAGGATGAGGCTGGCATCAAAAAGGCTGCAGAAAACAGTAAGGCCCCAGCCCCTCCTCTGTACCCCCTTCCGTCCCCTGGAGAGCACTGGGCAGTGCCTGCCTGGCTCCCTGGGGGCCCCCAGAAGCTTCCCCTACCCAGTCACGCCCTTCCCTGCAGTCAAGGCCCTGATTGAGCACGAGATGAAGAATGGGATCCCTGCCAATCGAATCGTCCTGGGCGGCTTTTCACAGGTGAGGGGTCAGTGAGGCAGGGGCCGGATGGACGAGCTGTGGCCTGATGCCCTGTGCTCCTTTCCTCCCTCCAGGGCGGGGCCCTGTCCCTGTACACAGCCCTCACCTGCCCGCACCCTTTGGCTGGCATCGTGGCGTTGAGCTGCTGGCTGCCTCTGCACCGGAACTTCCCCCAGGTGAATGTCCTCCCAGATCCCCTCCTGCCCTTGAATGTCCTTGAGGCTTGGCACTGTGTTGCTGCGCTGGCTTTGCCGTCTGAGTCTTGTTGGCCCACAGGCAGCCAACGGCAGTGCCAAGGACCTGGCCATCCTTCAGTGCCATGGGGAGCTGGACCCCATGGTGCCAGTACGGTTTGGGGCCTTGACAGCTGAGAAGCTCCGGTCTGTGGTCACACCTGCCAAGGTCCAGTTCAAGACATACCCAGGTGTCATGCACAGCTCCTGTCCCCAGGTCAGTGGGAAACTTCCTGCTCCCTCCCCTCTCCTTCCTTCCTCCAGCTAAGGAGCCTCACGGGTCTCCCCCTACCCCTAGGAGATGGCAGCTGTGAAGGAATTTCTTGAGAAGCTGCTGCCTCCAGTCTAACCAGAGTTGCTGGCCCCCAGTACAATTCCCCAGCTCACAGGGAACCCAGCCAACAGTGTGGCACCATCTTGGATCTAAGCCGGTTGAGCCCTCATTTTCCCCCTCCCCGCCCCATCCTCTTCCCACAGGCCTCTGGGGCAGGCGGCCAAGGCCTGGCTGGCTCTTCCTTCCTGGCTTTGGCCACCTGGCAGTCTGCAGCAGGGTGGGCTGCTTCCTTACCCTGCTTCCCCGGAGGCGGGCCGGCAGCAGTATTGGAGGGGCTGTAGGCAGCGGGAGAAGGGGCCCAGCCGCTGACCCACTCACTCAGGACCTCATTCACGAGCCCCGCTTTGGGCCCCCTCCTGTGACCTCAGGGTTTGGCCCTTGGGGCCCTCCCAGGACCCACCCCAGTGATTCTGCCTGGATAATCATGTGTCTCCTCCCTCACTGCAGCTGCTTCTCAATCATGAATGTCTCCATGGCCCGGGACCCCTTGCTGCTGTGGGCTGCCTGCCCTCAGGCAGGATGTGGGTGAGGAGGTGGAGTCCTTCAAGGGCCTTTCCTCAGCAGCCCCCACTTGGGAGCCGGGCCCTGCCTCCCCTCACCCTCCTCCCTCGAAGGCCTGGAGTCTGTGAGGCTGGATGGAGGCTCAAGGTCTCCCCTGGCTGTCTCACCCCCACTGTGTCCCCATGCTAGGGCCAGGGCGGCAGTGAGGGAGTTGTTGTGTCTCGTCTTCTGTCTCCATGTGATTTCAGGTATTTTTCTTGTTGTGTCCTGGATTCCTGGATTCCGATAAAATTAAAAGAAATTGCTCCCTCAGTTCTTGGGCCTGCCTGATTCTATTCATGGGGTGCAGAGTGACCACCTTTGAGAATCTGCCCCATTAAAAGAAAAGTTTTTATTTTAAATACTTGAAAAGTTCCCTCACAGCAGTGTCATACAGTGCCTGGGAGGGAGTTGTGGTCCCAGAGCCCTGCTGCTCGTCCACTCTTGGTGGTCCTGATGCCTTCCTGGACCCTGCAGGAGATACATGGAAGACACCTTGGTTCTTGGTCAGTGGAGCCCTCAGCCTCCTGCCCGGTGGGCTGAGTGGGCCTGGCTGGGGTTTGAGGTAGGGTGGTCGTGGCTTGTCCCCGGGCATCGGAGCCAGGGGTCCTGCCGGGGGCTGGAGAGCAGACGGGTGCTTCTCCTTTCCTCTGTGGTCCACTCTAGGGGAGGGTCCTCAGGCCTGTGCACCGAAGCCTGACGGATTCTGCTTCTGCCAGCGCCATAAGTCTTCACCTGTGACACAGTGGGGGTGGTCAGGACCTGGCTTGAGGGTAGCGTCCCCCTTGGGTCAGGCCAGCACTTACACATCCTGTCCAGCCCCAAGGCTGCTGTCCAGCCCAGCTCCTGGTGGGCCAGGCTGGGGTTGGCGTAACAGGCAGCCACGTCGCCTTCCCGCCGTGCTACCACTTTGTACGGGATCTGCAAGATGGTATGGGGCTGAAGCCTCGCTGAGCTGACCCTAGCCTTACCCACCCGGCTGCTGTCCAGATCCTCAGGAAATGGCGGAGTGGCGTCACCTGCAGACACCCAGGGCTGAGTTGCAAGGCAGGCTGAGGTGCTGGGCCACCCACTGGGGAGGTGAGTGGGAAAGGCCTACCTTCCTCCCTGAGGCCTTCTCCATGGCTTGGACCATCTGCAGCACTGAGTAGCCTGTGCCTGTGCCCAGGTTGTAGACCTGCCAGAGAGCAGGGTTAGTGCACGGGGCCGGACTAACCCTCCTCTGGGCCCCATTTCTCCTTCCCGCTCTTCCTACCCGGCAGCCACACTGCTCCTTCAGCTTCCTCAAGGCTGCGATGTGGCCCTTGGCCAGATCCACAACATGGATGTAATCCCGGATGCCTGCAGAGGGGGAGGTTGGTGGGGTGGGGAGTTGTTTCCACCTAAGTCTCCCACTGCTGGGTTCCACTGGCCCCACGCTCACCTGTGCCGTCCTCTGTGTCATAGTCATTGCCAAAGACATTCAGGGCCTCCCGCCGCCCAATTGCCACCTAGGGGCAGAGGTCAGGTCAGTTCCTCCTAGGTCCCGGGCGCCAGCTGTACCCTGGCACCCACTCTGTCCCTACCTGGGAGACGTAGGGCATGAGGTTGTTAGGGATGCCTTGAGGGTCCTCGCCAATGCAGCCCGAGGCATGGGCGCCCGTGGGGTTGAAATACCGCAGTAGCACCGCGTTCCAGGCCTGTGGGACTCAGGTCAGGTCATGGGGAAGGGCAGGGGTTCAGGCAGTCTGTCCCAGCTGAATCCAGGGCCCTGCTTCACCCCGTGCCTATCCTCCATTTCTCCAGAAATGAGTGACCCTGGGCAAGTCATTGTCACTTCTGACCCCCAGGTTCCTCTTTAGGGCAGGTAAGGATGGTGGTGGTTGGGATCCCTCAGCCTCAAAGGGGCCTTGAGGAGCCACGGCTGGGTCAAGGAGCCCTCACCTTGTCTGCCCGGCACAGGTCCTGGATCATCTCTTCAATGAAGAACTTGGACTTGCCATAGGGGTTGGTACAGCCCCCCGTGGGGTGGGCCTCATCCAGAGGCAGGTATTGAGGGTTCCCATATACAGTGGCTGAACTGCTGAACACCAAGTTCTTCACTCCGTGGGCCCTCATGATCTGGCCAGGGAGGAGAAGCCTAAGTGGCTGTGCTTCGCACATGAGTCCGGCCCCTTGCTGTGGCAGTGGGAGGGTGGGGCTGAGGTTACTGGCACTGGGGTTTACAGATGGGGAACTGAGGCTGAGAGCTAATGAAAGCCATGTGTCCCAGATGATACAGCATGGGCCCGTCTGACTCCCATGCGAGCAACTTTCCCACTGTGGCTGGCCTGTGTCCCCGTGCCAGGCCACTCACCTCCAGAAGCTGGATGGTCCCTGTCAGGTTAACTCTGTAATAATCCAGAGGCTTCTGCACTGACTCGCCCACAGCCTTGAGCCCAGCAAAATGAATGACAGCCTTAAAGTTGTGCTGCAGAGGTAAAGGGGGGTCAGAGGCAGCTTTGCCAGTCCTGCCCTTGGCAAAGGCCCTTCCTACTGGCACATACCTTCTTGAAGAGATGCTGTACGGACTCCTGGTCCAAGATGTCCATCTCCTCAAACTCCACAGAGCGGCCTGTCAGCTCCTGCACCCGCCTCAGGCTCTCAGGCACACAGCCCCTGCCTGGTGGGCCACACGGGGGCACCAGGATCAGGAAATGGGGTCCTAGAAGCCAAGGTTTTCCTCCACCCCTCCAGAAACTCCAGCTTGACCACCCACCACGGATGGCATTATGGAAGTTGTCGATGACCACGGGAGAGTAGCCTGCCTCCAGCAGCTCCAGCACTGTGTGGCTGCCGATGTAGCCAGCCCCGCCGGTTACCAGCACCTTCTCTGCCATTGCACCTGGCCGAGAACACAGAGTCAGAAGTGGCTGTGGTGCCTGCTCAGGGCCTCTCTCCATCCAGAGTCTGGCTCCCCAAGCTCACCTTCGAGGCAGGCAGCAGTGAGTCCTGGTTCAGAGTAGCTGGAGTCAGTTCTGGTTCAAGCCCAACACTGGCACTTTCTCGCCTTAGGCTTTGAGGATCACCTACTTTCTCCAGGCTGTAGTTTCGAGCCCTACAAGATGGAGCTAATAATTGTACACACACCATTTATATCGCAGGAAGGGTGCAATGAGGTGATTTAAAGGCCTGTTACAGGTAGGCACCTTATTTTCTACCTCCACCGACAGAGTCAGGGTTGGGAAGATCTTTAAAGACCCACACTTCCCTCCCCGATGTCTGGGAACTGGGCAATCCTGGGCATAAGGGCACATGGCAGCAGGATTGGGACTCCAGGATACCAGGAGGGGCTCTGTTCTGACTCACATCTCCCTGGTGATTCCACCCCCATTAGGTGTCAACAGGCTTCTGGGCACTGGGACCAGGCAGCTCTCTTCCCTAAAGGTTCAGCCAGGAGGAACCAAGAAGCAAGCAAGGGTGGGTCCTCTGCCAGCAGGAGAGCCCAGCTCCAGGGCTACAGCACCACAGTCCAGTAGTGGGCCCTGTCCCGCCCCACCCCACCCCACGCCCGGTGGGCAGGCTGGCTCTGGCTAAGCCCATGCCAGGTTACTCTGGGCTTGGTGATGGGGATCCTGTCCAACCAGGCAGCAGTGGGTGGGCCAGTGTAGACGTGGACTTGGCCCCCGTCTTTGCCAGGGGTGCATCTCCGCCCTGAACAAACTGGGTGGAGGGGGCAGAGCGGGCAGGAAGCCCCAGACACTGAGGCCTTTCATTCTGAGACCTGGCCGGCTGCCGTCTTCCTCCAGGTGGCCTGAAACCCTCCTGGGCTCATCCAGCTCCAATCCACTTGACAAAGCACCCGCTGCGCGCCAGGCTCCTACCCAGCGCTCATACGTTATTTTCCCGAGTTCGCCCCACAACTCGATGAGGCAGGTGTTCTTAATGACACTTTACCTGGAGCAGGATTAGGGTCAGAGATGTGAACTAATTTGCCTGTGGCCACACAGCCAGTATACGGGCTGGAATTCGGATCTCCGGGCTGGCAGCCCTCCCCTTCCCCGAGACTCCTTCCCCTGGACTCGGCCCGGAATGCCCAGGCTGCCCCCACTCTCTCCCAGCCGAGTGGCGCGAGCTCTGTGGACCCGGAAAAGTGGGGGCCAAGGGGCCCCCACGGCAAGAAGGGTGACGGAGGGAGACCTTGCCCCGGACCCAGGGGATGACCTTGGTCAGCTGTCGCCTCCTCGGTTTCCCCAGTCTGCACTAAGAGGAGAGGGGGCGCTGGGCCGTCAGTGCTCCAGGGCGGCTGGGCCTCGGGCTGGACCTTGGGGCCCTGCTGGGAAGGGGCAGAGCTAGGAGTCCTGGGCCCGGAATGAATGAACCCAGGCCGCCCCAGCCGCGGGAAGCGGGAGCAGAGGGGGCGGGCCCGTTCCCACCCTTGCGCGGCTCCTCCTGGAACGCGGCCCGGACCTTCCTGAGACTCTCATTCCCAGCCGACCACCGCCCCTCCCGAGCCCACCCGGCCCCTCATTCCACCTCGCAAACCTGCTGGTTCCTGCGGCGCCGCCTCCCGCACTCCGCTCGGCGGTCCCTTTAAGGGCCGACAGCCCACCCAGATACCTCCCCACCACACCCCCAAAAGAGACGTGTCGCTAGGGTTGTGGCAACTACGGAGACTCCAGGAGGACAAAAGCCCTGCTCAGTTTTAAAACGACTGCCAGCGCATTTCCAGGGAGGGCGGAAGTGGGCGGCACCCTGCCAGAATAGGGAACCGTAGCCCGAGACGCCTGCCCGGGTGCGAGGCGCGCGTCTTTCAACTACCGGGATGTGCAGACCTTTCCAGGTATCGCGGGAAGTGTCCGACTCCCCCGGCACGAAGGAAACAGAGCTGCACCGAGTGAAGGGAATGCCGAGGGCCGCCCTGCTGCGATTCTGGAAGTCTAGTTTGGAAGCAAACCAAGGAACCCTTAAAGCTGCCTGTAGCTCTGAGCCTCCCAGACTGCAGCGTTCACCCTGGGGGAACCGTTTGTCTGCACCCCGCCAGCTGCCAACAAAAGCTCAACAGTGGTATATGGTTCTGTTCCTTAAATGGCAAGTCCCACGAGTGATGTCCATCAGGTCGTGACATACTGAGAAAACCCGTGCAGAGAAGCAATAAATGCACAAGTGCACGCATGCCCTCACCCTGGAACACCCTAGGCCCACCC